CCTTAGAAACATGATTGTGAAAAAATGAAGCAAGAACTACAATGACTTGTGGTTTTCTGTAATGACATCCTCCTGGATTTTTGTATTTAATTACATGAATCATACCTAGAGGGAGTCTCAAAGAAAAATGACTGAAATGAATAGTTCAAGCACTTCCAAACAAATCATATCTTTAATTTGCTCTGCTACGTCATGTCATGACTTCTAGTCAATTGAGAGAATGTCTAATCTCTACCCACACTGGAATAAACAGAGGCAAAGTGGAACAACAGATAGGTAAAGGAATATGGAAATCAGACATCACTGAAGAAAAGCAGAGCTCAGTCCTCATTCAAATCAGTGTTCTCTGACCATTTTCCCATCATGAAAGACACAAAAAGTAGAAATATTTGTGTAGCTTAAAAGAAAAAAAACACAATGGAAACCCAAGTGGCCTGAGGCAAAAGACCCAGAGCCCCAGTCCTGGGAGCAGGAATGACAGATATCTCTTGAGTACAATAGCCATTCACATAGGGAAGCTTGTACTCATATCAGCTCTCCTACTCCACAGAAAAAGAAACAGAGACTCAAGAGGTTGAAGGGAGATACACCTGGGTACACAGCAAGCACCCTTGTTAAACACCTAGCAGGAGGCATCTCTTTCCAAGGTTACGGCCACTCCAAACAATTCACAAATTGAATTTGCTGGGTTTAGAATGGAAAACATTTTTCATAAACATTAGAAATCTTATACATAAATACTTCTCAAATTCAGACTCACTGGAATTTTAAAATAATTTTTCATATATATCAAACTTGTGTTTTTGTCAAGGACCTAAATTTACACAACCAAATTTAGTCCATGTGAAATTTCTATGTATAAATTATCCAGTTTGTGAATAATTATAACGTCTTGTTCTTAATTGGATTTTTTTTCTCCTTTAGTTTAGTCTTCTGCAGTGTCAACTTCCTCTTCATCATATGGTCATGTAGATTTTTATATTATGCAAGTTTATGCTAATCAAGCTCACCATCATTAGGAAAACTTATACTAGAAAACTCAGACATTAAGACAAGAATAACTCTATCCTTAGCTATCTGCTTCTTGTTTTATGTGGGCTATTTTTACTAGTAGTATTGATTATTGTAGGTAAAAATATAGGTGTGATAAAATCTCATTGCTATAAAGATTATCTAGTGTTATGATTTATTATGAGCACCAATATTTTGTGTAATCACACTGTAGATTTAACAGTGCCAATTCCATGATCTATTCACTGTTCCTGTCAAAAGAAAAGGCATTAAAGAGCTGAAGAGATGCTGACTTTTTAAAAATATATTTTTTATTTTTTATTTTATGTGTATGAGTGTATTGCCCACATGTGCTTAAGTGTACCTGTGTCATGCAGTGCCCATGTAAGTCAGAAGTGAGTGTCAGATCCCTCTGGAACTGGAGTTACGAATGGTTGTTAACCACCATGCAGGTGCTGGGAATCGAACCTGGGTCCTCTGCAAGAGCTGTCAGTTCTCTTAACCACTGAGCCATGTCTCCAGCCCCAGTTTTTTAAGAGCACTGGAAGACTGGAGTTCAGTTTCCAGCACATATGCCAGGTGACTCTGAACCACCTGTAACTCCAGCTTTGGTAGCTCTGACACCCTCTTTTGGCCTCCAGGAGTGTCCACACATAAGTGGTATACACACACACACACACACACACACACACACACTCACACATACACACAAATAAATCTTAAACAAATTTAAAAGGCTACTAATATGAAAATCTAATAAAGTTCATTACAATAATTCAGTGGTCTTTTTCTATGTAGGTACTTAATTTCCAAAATATTAAAGTTATATTTTTAAATCATAGGGGAGAAGAGGTAGAAACTATGACCCCATTAAAAATTATAAAAGTGACCCACAGGCCTCTCTCCAGAGTAAGCTCATGGCACCCTCCTAGCCTTGACTCCCCCAGCCCCATTCACCCTCCCATCTCCCCTGCCAGTCTCTCCTAGTTTGGATCCTGTCCCATTCCTTGTCTTGGGGCCCCAGACACCTGGGGAGCCAATACTGTTTCCTGACCCTTTTCATCCACACCAACTTAGTGCCTTCTCTGGGCCCCAGGAGCACTGCTTCTGGGCCTGGCCCCGCACTCACCTACCTCTGCTTCCCTGGGCATATACCACCCAAATCAGGTCTCTCTCCCACCTCTAGGCCTCTCTCCAGGGTAAGTCCATCATTCCCTCCACGCCTTGACTCCCCCAGTCCCATTCACCCTCCCATCTCCCCCACTGTTCTCTCCTCCAAGTTTGAACCCTGCCCCATTCCTTGTCTTGGGGCCCCAGACACGTGGGGAACCAATACTGCTTCCTGACCCCTTTCATCCAAACCAATTTAGTGCCTTTTCTGGGCACCAGGAGCACTGCTTCTGGACCTGGCACCAGCCACAACTCCCCCTGCTTCCCTGGGACTTGGGAGCTGACCTTTCCTCTTCATGATCCTTTGTATCCAGACCAACCCAGCTCCTCAGTGCAGTCCCCAGGAGTCCTTGGGGCCTTTTCCCACCCCATCTGCCTTTGCCTCTCTGAGTGGCACGGCCACCAGCTGCCTTAGACCAGCATCTTTTCTGGGCCAGGCTCCCAGGCCAGTCCAACTCTCAAACTCCTGAGGCCAAAATTGGTCCTGGAGGGATCCAGACCTTAGAAGAAAGCTTGAAATCATCTGACCCTCATCCGAATTGGGCCTCTGTGGGAACTCCTGAAGACAAAATCAATCCTGCCACGCCAATATAAAATCAAGAGAGAGAACCGGAAGTTTAGGCAAACCAGCTTTTCATGCCCAAAAAGTAAACCACAAAGACAAATAAAATTCACAAAAAGAAGTAGACCTAAACTTGAAGGCCTGAGTCTCACACAAGAACCAGAAACTACAAAAGAAATTCACATGCCAAAATCACAGAGAAAAAATAATAACATGAAAAACCAAAATGACATATCCCCCACAAATACCAATAGTCCTCTAAAGAAGTAAAATGAGAAGCCCCAAGAGATAATGCAGGACATTGGACTCAAAAGAACAGTTATAAACATGATAAAAGAATTCAGTGAATTTAAAGAACATAAAAAAAAAGAAATCAAAGAACTGAAGGAAGATAGGGATAAACTGAATGAATTCAGAAAAGAGTTAGAAATATTGAAGAATACTCAGGCTGAAATGAAGAAGGAAGTGAAACACTCAGCAAGCCAATTAGAAACGACAGGAGAAAGCCTCACCAATAGGATGAATGAAATGGAAAACAGAGTATCAAGACTGAAAGATAAAGTGGATGAACTAGACCATGCAAGCAAAAATTATGAAAAATTTAATAAATCCCAAGAATGGAATATGCAGGAATGAATTGTGTGACACCATAAAAAGACCAAACTTATGAATCATGGGCATACAGGAAGGAGAAGAATCCCAAGATAATGGCATGGACCAGATCTTCAACAGAATTGTGGAAGAAAATTTCCCAAACGTAAAGAAAGACATGCCCATGCAAATACAAGAAGCATACAGAACACCAAATAGACAGGACCAGAAAAGAAACTCTCCACGGCACACCATAGTAAAAATACTACATGTACAAAACAAAGAGACGGTTCTGAAAGCTGCAAAAGAGAAACAACAAGTCACATATAAAGGAAAACCCATTAGGATTACAGCTGACTTTTCAGTGCAAACTATGAAAGCCAGAAGAGCCTGGACCAAAGTCTTCCCAGTTTTAAATGACCACAGATGCCAATCCAGATTACTATACCCAGCCAAAATGTCTATCATAGTCAAAGGGGAAGGAAAAATCTTCCATGACATAAACAGGATGAAGGAATTCATGTCCACAAAACCAGCCCTTCAGAGAGTTCTGGAAGAAATACAAAGAGCTGAAGAAAGGAATGACTATACCCAAGGGGTTGCGGGAAAGAAATTCAATGAAGGTATTACTGTGGGAAAGCACAGCTATATAAAGAATGTGAACAGAAATAAAAATGAAAGGATTCAATGCACAGATTTCATTAATAACTTTAA